TCCTCTTCTCTCATTTCTCATTCTCGTTTATTTTCTCATGCTATCAGAGCAAACTACGTTCCTGGCCTGTTGCTTCCGCTGCTACTCTGTGTTCGGCACGCCCCGTGGCGTGCCCCTCGCGCTACTCTTAGCGGCCCCGTTGCCGCCCTTCCAAGCCCCTCGCGGCCCCTTCGCGGCCCCGTCGCCGCCCCTATCGGCCCCGTCGACGCCGCCAGCGGCCCCGTCGCCGACCCTAGCGGCCCCGTCGCCGCTCCTATCGGCCACGTCGCCGCCGCCAGCGGCCCCGTCGCCGACCCTAACGGCCCCGTCGCCGCTCCTATCAGCCCCGTCACTGCTGCCAGCGGCCCCGTCGTCGCCGCCAGCGGCCCCGTCGCCGCCACTTGCGGCCCCGGCCCCGCCCCGGCCATGCCCCGTCGCCAGCCGCGGCGCACCTGAGGAACGTGCACCGCCCCCCCCCCCCCCTTTTCCCGTCGCCCGTCGCGGCTCCTTCGGGGGCAACCTAGGGGGGGGGGGGCGAGCGTCGCCCCTTCTGCCGCCTGCTTTGGCGCCCTGGGAGGCCGCGCGTCGCCCCCCCCCCCCCCCCCCGTAACCTCCCTACCCGCCATCCCGCCCTGCCCTGTGTTCGGGTTTGGGGGTGGCGAGTGGGGGGTGGCGGGTGTGTGGTCTCCCCTGCTCCTCCTCCTCCTCTGTCTCCCACTGCTGCAGCTGCCGCTGAGGGGGGTGGGTGTGTGGGAGTCGACGGAGTGGTGCTAGGGGGTGGGGTGTGAGTGAACCTAGGGGTGCAGTAGGGGGTGTGTGAGATGGGGGTGGGATAGTTTGGGGAGGTTGAAGGGGTTGGCCGCCATGAAGCCTGCAGCTCTAGTCGCCCGTGAGACCGTTGCGCCAGTCGCCCGTGAGCCCGTTGCGCCAGTCGCCCGTGAGCCCGTTGCTCCAGACGCCCGTGAGTCCGTTGCTCGTCTGCCGCTACTTTTAGCCGCGGAGCCAGTTACTCCAGTAGCCCGTGTGCCAGTTGCTCCAGTTGCCAGCGTGCCAGTTGCTCCAGTTGCCCGTGTGCCAGTTGCTCCAGTTGCGCCGTGTGCCAGCAGCTTCAGCTGTCGCCCACTACCTCCTCTCCTCTCATAGTCCCTCCTCCTCCACACTTGCCCTATGCGATAGCCTCTAGCTTTGCTTACATTTGTGAACTTTAAACTGTTACTTCTTGAACTTGTGCTCAGAATGTGTGGTGACATTGTGATCCACCCTGAGCTTGTTCTGCTTTGCTTGCTCTGCTGATTACACCCCACTTTGGCTATGGGGGTGTGTCAGAATGTTATTGTTCTCTAGCCTGCAGTGGGGTACTCTATAGCGAGTACAACCTCTTAGAGTTTCCTATATGTATCCTGCTGCTTTCTAGTGAACCTCCTCTTCTCTCATTTCTCATTCTCGTTCATTTTCTCATGTCGGACGCCACTTTCCAAATGTCGCAGATTTCGAAGATGGCGATGCGAAGGATTCCTGAGTCGCTCTGATACCATGTTGAGATCAGAAGTTGATCGTGGCCTAGGATCTACTCAGGAAGGTTCGCACGCAGAGGAGTGATGTTGGTGGGCCCTTGACCTCAATAGCAGAGTGAATGTAAATGCTTGAGATGATTAAGACATGCAAATACAACGATATAAATAAGAGTACAGGAGAATATGAATCGACCTAGCTATCCATGTACTCTAAGGGGTACATTCCCTTATTCAAATACATTCCCAACCGTGCGGCGCGAAAAGTTACGAAACTGTTCCCGCCGAAACCATCCTGCCTGCAGCTGCCTGATGATGTCTGCTCCGACGGTTCAGATGCGTCCCAACTGTCTGACGCTTCGGGTCGTTTCCAACCGTCTGACGCTTCGCGTTCATTCGCGATACTGCGTGCTTCTCTTTGCTGCGGTGAGGAGTGCACAGTAATATTCAAGTATTCCTATTCGTAACACCTTTCAGCGAACGAGGAACTCGATCCTCCTGATCCCCGGGGGTGTCGAATCCGATGGCTCAGAATCTTTTCGGGCTCGATGATCGGCTCCGATACAGGGCGAGTCATGGATGGCGGGCGGTGACGAGACAGTTGGCTTGTGGTTGGGATGTAGGGGCGAAGCAGGCTGACGTGGAATGATGGGCTGATGTACCAGTCGGTCGGTAACAGTAGATGGGCGGTTACTGGCGTAATCATGTGGCTGATTTGGAATGGGCCACAGTAGCGAGGTCGAAGTTTTGGTACGTCGGGCAGTCGCAGATTTTGCGTGTCGAGTAGTACGTAATCTCCTGTCTGGTACGTGACTGGGCGGCGGTGGCGGTCAGCGTTGCGCTTAGCGATGACATTTGGTTCTTATTTTAATTGCTTCTTCGGCTCTGGTTCGGGCAGCCTGCAGAATCTCAGTGAATTGTTGTGCACGTGGCGTGGGGTTGCCAGGACTCGGCGTCATGGGCAATTTTGGGTTTTGCCCGTACTTCAGGTAAAATGGGGACTGTTGCGTCGTCGCTGACGTGGCTTTGTTGTACGCGAACTCGATCAGCGGTAGCTGCTGCTCCCTAGTTATCGGGTCATCGCACGTGCCACAAATCAACTGCTCCATCGTCTGATTCGTCCGTTCCGTTTGTCCGTCGGTCTCGGGGTGGTACGACGAGCTGAACTGTAGCCTAGTCCCGAACTGCTGCCGGAGGTTCTTCCATAAATTGTTGGTGAACTTTGTGTCTCTATCGCTGATTATCGCTGCTGGTACCCGTACAGGCGTACGACGACTGCGATGAACAGGCGAGCGGTTTCTTCGGCTGAGATCAACTTCTTGCACGCAGCGAAGTATGCCATTTTCGTCAGCCTGTCAATGACGACCATAACGGTTGCTGTTGTACGCGGTGTTTAGAGCGTGGAACATCCTTATGAACAAGAGTCCCGACGGCTCTTTGGTCAAACATTTGTCTCGTCAACGGTTTGCGACAGTTTTCGTCAGGTAACACTCAAAACCCCACATCCTAAGTTGGAAACACTTGGTCGCCCAGAAAAACGGAGTCGGGATGATACACGAAAGCGCCTGCTTCGTCAAACGCCACCCTGCAAATTGGGTTGTAGCACGTCACTCACGACAACACCTCGTTTCATTTAGCATGTTTTCCCTGGCGTCGCCACTTGTCTTATACGCGAGGTTCAACGAGTGGGGCGACCAACGAGCATGAGCTGTGGACGTGCGTGTTTCCTGGACTCTTCGTCAGTTAGCTTCGTAGGTCAATGGCGATGTTCGCAACAATGGTTACTGTCGCTGTTGGGCGACCATCTCCTTGTTCAAAAGGATGTTCCTCCTTGTTTAAAAGGATGTTCCACGCTCTTATCGAGAAAATTCCTTACACCCTGGATGGTTTGACTTTGATGAGTTTTGAAATGTTTCGCTATTGGATTGGAGAGTTTGATCGAGATGAAAAGGGATACTTCTGTATCGAAACGACATCCGTTTAGATCCCAGCCAGTTTCAGGCAGTGCAGGTATCATCTATGTTGGTGTGTCACTGTTCTACGCACTTGTGACTTGGCCAACGTGGCGCACGCTGACTGAGCGGCTTAGCAAAGAGTTCCTCCTCCACCGCTACGGACCAAACCTCACCTTTCCTTTCTATTGGCTGGCTGCTGCGGCTGACGGATGGTCCAATCCAGCGTGCTCGGCCCATCCCACCATACCGTGACTAGCATTCGAGGCTTCATCCTTCCGCCTCCTCGAAGTACTCAAGGGCTCTCTTTTTCTCCGCCCCGCTCTTGTTCACTCCTCCAAACCCAGCTGCCAGCCTCTCCTGCCCCTTCGAGACTCCAGTGCGGGGAAATGGATTGGCTCGGAGGGGCGTGACAGGCTCCGCGGATGCAGGTTCAGCCGCACCAGTACACTACCCCAGTACCAGCACTGAGATCGCCTTCCAGCGAACATGGGACAGGACAGACCCCAAAGTACAAATATCTGGGTCCAGCGTGGCAGCTTTCACGTTGTTTTCACGTTGCTTTCACGCTCTCAACCACTCTCCAGTGTGCGATCAAAACTTCCTGCACGACTCCATCTACGATCTGTGATCGCATCTCAACTCTAGTTGGTCAGGCCCAACCGTCCGATCATGTGGGGTGTTCGCACGTTGGGGACCTCTAAACAATTGCGACGTCCAGATTCGTTCTCCCTCCACCTCATCACCTGCCCAATCTCTTGCACGTGCGAAGTGCACTTTTTCACTGTCCCAAGTTCGAAGTTGGGACAGCCCAGGAAGGCCATCTGAACCACACCTGCCCCTGAGCAGGCCCCTTGTCCTTTCTCCCGCAGCCCACCCATCCCAAACGGGAATTCCCCTCCCCACCCCACGCTATTCATGATGATCCCGCCCACCAACGACATTCTCCTGTTACCCCCGATTGTCTGCACCAGCAGTGCCTTTGTTGAGCCCAGCCCTACCTCTGCGAGCCACAGCCACACCAACACGCCCCGCTGTGTGCGTGCAGAATGGTTTCGCCTTCCCCCATGCAAGCAAAACGGCCCTCGCATGTACCTCCCCCTACAATGCCTACACCAGCACGATACCTCCCTCTCTTGACTAACCAAGGCAAAGCAACCTCCAACCAAGTCAACCTCCACCGAGTTAATCTGCGACTTCGTTCTTGACCATTGCGTATTAGCTGGAATTGCATTCAGGACTTAGGGGCGCTCGTGCTTCTTGAGATTTCATCCTATTTCACTGTAGTACCTCTCCAGTCTGATTTCTCTATTAGCGGTGGGTTCTCCCTCTCTATTCAACCCTCTAACTACGGATCCCCACTAGAGATCGTCTGCTGGAATTTGCTGCATGTTGTCTAAGAACGAGCTGTTGCACGATGGCCGGGCTCCGTTAGCGCTGGAATCCGCACGCTATCGTCGCTGTGCGCACCGCTGTCTGCTGAGTCTGATAGGGGCACGTGCAATTACTCCGCGGCTCCGCCTTGCCATCGCTTCCAAAGCCGTTTCTCAGCCGGACAATGAGCGACAACCCGCGACCCACGCTCCCAGTGCCCGAAACTGACGTGGCGCGTCCGTCACGTGGCATTCAGGATGCTGCTGTGCTCGCATGCCCCTCCACAGCAGCTGCAAGCCACAGCGACACGGGGAGGCAGGGGAGTGGCGGATTGTCATCGTGTGGCGCCGCAGCAGCAGCAGCGGGTTCGGATAAGAGTAGGGCGTCGAATCGAGTGGGCGCCACGGCATCTGAGCCTTCTAGTAGAAGGAGCACGGGAAGCGCACACGCGGATCAGCGGCCGCTCACTGACGCCGCCGCTGCTGCGCCGTGCAACGCGGAGCCCAATGCTAGTACCACTGGGCAGCAGCGCGCCGAGCTCGCGAGCCAGATTGACCTGGGATCTCCGCAAAGCACCAATTGCGGCGGGAGCGTATCGACGGCGAGCGCGAGTCCCGTCGCAGGGAGGGACGGCGTGACGCAAGAGGTGGAAACAGGCAGCGGCGCGGCTTGTATCTGCCGCGCCAGTCGTAGTCGGCGGAAGTGTGCCCTTCCGCTTACATCCGCGGACGAGGTGAGGCGGACAGTTGTAAGGCGGGGTTGAAGTGCTCGGTAGGACGGAGGCGCGAGAATAGGAGCGGAGACGTTGGGGGTTGCTTAGCTCATTCTTTCCGAACACAGGGTTTTCAAGGCCTCGTCTCCGTGACCCCCGTCTCACTTGTATGCCCCCCTTTGCCCCCATGCCTTCCGCCGTTCCCCCATGCTGCGCGCGCGCGGCAGGTGACGGGGTCCGACTTCTGCTACGCCAGCCACGTGGGATTCTTCGACGCGCCACCCTCCTGCGTCTGCGAGCGCGCGGACTGCGCGGACGGAATAGAGCGCGCTGAGCGGTGGGAGCGGTGGATGGACGGCGCGAGCCTCGTGGCGCACATCACACCGTTCGCCATCATTGGGGTGCGTGTCGCCCCCTCCTTCCTCGTGCGCGCGCGCGCACACCCCCCAACCGCTTCTTCCCTCCGACTCGTGCGTATTGCACCACGCATCCGAATTCTTCCGTTCCTCCTCTAACCCCCTTCAGCTACCATATTCCGCCTCTCCCCTCCGCGCGCGCAGGTGTGCATTCAGTTTCTATTGGACGAGCTGTTCGGCCCGAACGTGGCGCACGTGACGGACGACGCGCTGACGGTCTTCGTCGACCTGCCCGCCAACATGCTCGGCGCGTTCCTCCTCGGCCTCTCCGCCATCCCGCTTCTCCCCGCGCTGCTCGCGCGCTCGCGCCACCTCGTCATCGCCGTCGTCGTGGGGCTGTGCGGCAGCATATCAACGTTCGCCACGTGGAACCAGCGCATGGTGTCCATCGCCACGGCGGGGCTCTGGGCGCGCGCCGCCTTCGGGTACTTCACCGGCTCCGCGCTCCCCCTCGTCGCGCTCGTCGCGGGCGTCGACGCGGGGACGGCCATCCGCCACGCCTCCGCCTGCGCGCCCCCCTCTCCCGCCTCCTCCCTCCTGCCCTGCACGCTTCCAGGCACAAAGCTCCCCGCGCCTGCTCCGCCGTCCGATCCCCCCCACCACCGCCACCACATGCTCACCATGCTGCTGCTCTCCGCCGCCATGCTGCTGCTGGCGGGACTCTGCGCGCTGCTGCTCCCCCCCACTTGTCTCAAGTGGCGCATGCTAGCTTGCGCTTGCCTCCTCGCCCCCTTAGGCACCCACCTCCGCTTCCTCCTCCTGCGCTTCAACGGGGGCCCTTTCCCCCTCCGCCTCCCCTTCCTCCCCTGCGCCGGCCCTCCCTGCGCTGCGTCGGAAACGGCGCTGCTGGCGGAAGCAGGGAAGGGCGCGCGCGGGTGGGAGTGGATGCCGTGGGGCACGTGGATGGCGAACGTGGTTGCGGCGGCGGTGGAAGCCGCCATCTCCATCCTCTTCCTCAAGGTGCGCCTCTGCCGCTCTCATCTTGCGCACCCCTCTGTCTGTCCTCATCATCCCCCTTCCCGCACCACTCCCTCACTCCCTCCCTCTATTCCCACCGATTTGCCCCACCCGCCTCCGCACCCCTCCCCACACCATCCGCACCACTCTTGTCACCGCCTCACTCGCGCCATGCTCACTCTCCTGCGCGCCCCTGTCTTCCCCGTTCTCCTCACCTTGCAGTACCAGAGCACAACGAGCAAGGTGGCGGTGGGGGCGATGCAGCTAGGCTTCCTGGCGTGTCTCAGCACGGTGTCAATGCCGTCCCTGGAGGCCCTGTACCTGCACTACACGCTGCGCTCGCCCGCCAAGGCCTACGGCTACGCGCTGCTCACCATCGTGCCCTCCTTTGCCCTTGGGCTGCTGCTCTACTCGCTGCCCTGCTGGCTCAACGGTTTCGACTCCCTCTACAATCACGTCGGCACCTCCCTGTGATGCCACCTCCCTGTGAATCTTGTCGCCCTGACTCCGCTCTACTGTACAAAATGAGGCATGACGCATGCAGATGCAGCGTGGCCACAACGTGTGATATGGCATGACAGAAGGGCAGGGGGTTAAGAAGCACAGGTGCAAAGGCCTCCTCATCCTGCTACATGTTCCACATGCTGCAAAAAGCAGCACACTAGGCTATACTGTAGCTTCTCATGAAATGCCGACCGTATACTAGTGCATTGAACAAGTCTACTGAACTAAATCTGTAGGCAGACTACCATATAACCAAACCCACTGGGCTGTGATGTAAAGCGTAACATACGTGGGCATGTGATCAGCGTAATCAATTGTGCTATGCACTAATGTGGGTGGAGCAGCACCTGAACAGGAAGGCCCCCTGAGAGAGTCTCCATTGGCGAACCACATCCTACGGAGCCAGGAGTGGCGAACCATGCCACACACTACATGTACGGTACTACAGACTGATGCAGCCTCACACGCTGGAGTATGGCACTGATAGATGCTATGCGTGACAAGCTGACACACGTCGCAGGCATGCACCACTCCTGGCTCTCCACTTATTGCGCTGACTCACCCGCCTTGCCCACTGTGCTGCCCGGCCCCACCCCACCTGCTGCTGCACCTGCCCCACCGTGCCGGGCGGCTCTCCCTCGCACAGCAAGGTCGGGCGCCCTCACCACCGTGGCCCGCACATTGTACTTGTCCGTGCGGATGTACTCACTCACTCCCTCCCTCACTCCCTCCCTCACTCCCTCTCCCCTTCTCTCTCTCGCTGCCTCCTCCGCCTTCCATGCTGCCATTCCACCCGCCCACACACCTCGTGGTTGGCTGCTGGCACCTGAACTACTGCCACCACCAACAGTGTCACTAGTGGCAGCAGCAGCGGCAGCAGTGGCAGCAGCGGCAGCAGCGGCAGCAGTGGCAGCAGCGGCAGCAGTGGCAGCAGCGGCAGCAGTGGCAGCAGCGGCAGCAGTGGCAGCAGCGGCAGCAGCAGCAGCAGCGCCACGGTCGAGAGTGCCGCCAGCCTCTCTGCAACCCCCCTCTGCCACCGTCTGGCTTTGGCCAAACGTCCCTGCCCGTGCCTCCACCCCCTTCGCTCTCCCCCCATCAGCTCCTGCCCCCTCTGTGCCAATCCCGCCACCAGCAGCAGCAGCAGCGCCACCAGCGGTGGGGGGTGCAGGTGCTTTTGAGTGCGGCAGGGCCGACAGCACAGGGGGTGGCAGGGGCGGGGGAGGGTGTGGGGGTGGGAGAGCGGGCAGCAGCTCCTTGGAGCGGCGGTCGGTGGCAGCGTTGGCGCCCGCCATGCTCATGTACCCGCTGTGCCCCGCTCCCACACTGCCCCCTCTCCCCGCCCTCTCACTCGCCCCCGCTCGCCCTTGCACAACCCCTCGTCTTCCCCTTTGCCTCCCCTCACCTTTCCCCCCTTTGGCCGTCCTCCCTCGCCCCCTGGGCCGCTCAGGCAGCATGCCGGCGCCCCTGCTGCGCCGCAGCACCGCCACCACTCCCGCCATCCACCCCCCTGCTGCACCCTTCCCCCCCTCGCCGCCTGCCCCCTCCGCCGCCGCCCCCTTCCTGGCCGCGCCACCCGCCAGCCTCTCACTGGACGCGCAGAGGCTGTCCACGTCAGACGCCACGTCAGCGTCGCGGCCCAGAAGGCGGTCCCAGCAGTGGGCGAGGCGGTAGAAGGTGGGGAAGAAGTGGAGCTCGAGGGCGGTGGTGAGCAGCAGCGCAAAGATGAGCCAGGCGGCCAGCAGCACGGTGTAGAAGAGCGGGGCCGCGGAGATGAACAGCCCCACCAGCACCTGCGCCTGCCCCAGCACCAGCGCCACTGCGCCTCCCACGGCGTGCACCCTCCGCCAGTACGGGCGCCACTTGCTGTCCTCGTGCGGCCGCCACACCAGCGCTGACAGCTGGCGTTAAGGGAAGGGGGATCGGGGGAAGGAAGTAGGGAGAGAATCTGAATGAATAGGGAGCGAGGGAGAGACATCAGGAGGCGGCAATAAGGGGAGGGGATGTAAGGAAAAGGATGCAGAGAGCAGCGCACAGCAGAGCAGAGAGCCAGTTACCCCAGTTTACGGCCGCATGCATGCGCACCTGCAGTGCAGCGATGAGCATGAGTGTGATGGGCATGGCAGTATGCGCCAGCACGCACGCCCCTCATGACACAGCAGCACAGCACACAGCCAGCGACCCCCATCCCACCCCACCCACCTGCAGTGCGGCGATGACCATGAGCGTGATGCCCATGGCCGTGTGCGCCACCACGCACGCCCCCCGTGACGCCTCATCGGCGCGGCCCTGGATGGCGCCGTGCGGCATGGTGAGCGCCATGGTGAATGCCACCGTGCCCAGCGACGCGGCAGCCAGGTGCAGCGCCTGGTGCACGGGGAACCAGCGCGCGTACACCTGACGCAGGTAGCGCGCTGCCATCACGCCCAGCGGCATGAGGAACGCCCACGCCACCGTGCTGATTATGCCGTGAATCTGATGCACGGGCCAGGGGGACGGGAGGGCGTGAGTGAAGGTATGGGACGGTGAGACATGGAGATCACGTGATGGCACGAGGCGAGGGCGAGCAGCGTGCAGGGCGAGCAGCACGCAAGGAGCATGCAGAAAGCAGATTTGGGAGCAAGGGGGGATGGGGAGATGACATGTGGAAAGGGGAGCAGGGAGGGTGGGGAAGAGCAGAAGAGTGACCGCGCACCTTCCACAGCCGGATGGTGTCGTTGGAGTCGTCTTTCGGCTTGCCGCGTTCAAAGCTGATGGCTGACGTCATCAGCGCGTCCAGCCCATCGAGCGACAGCACCCCCCCCGTGTCGTTGGCCGCAATGGCAGCAGGGAGTGAGAGCTGCGCGCGCTGCCCCTTGGTCCACACGAGGTACGCCGCGGCCGTCTGGTTCGGCAGCAGCAGCAGCGAGAAGAGCAGCGTCAGCGCGCCGTTCCGCGCCTGCCCCACGCTGCTCACCACCGTCAGATCCCCCCCCCCCACCGCCTCCACGCCCACGCCCCGCGCACCCGCGCGCACCACCACCTGCCCCACCTCCACCTCCGCCCCGCCTGCCCCCGCGCCCGCGGCCTTCCCGGCACCCCGCTCCGCGTGCGCGTACGAGACGACGAGCAGGCTCGAGTTGGCGACGGCGCCGGAGGGCGAGAGGCCCACGGCGGCGTACCCGCCGTCGGGCACGGCCTGCGCGACGAACGCGGCGCGCAGCGTGATGCCCGCGAGCGACCACATCAGCAGGAAGCCGCCGGGCAGCGCGTCGCACGCGTCGAACGCGTAGACCTGCCCGCCCACCGCCGTGCTGCACTCGCGCAGCCCCGGCATCCCCGCCACGCCCCCCGCCGCGTCCGCGCCAGGCGGGGGCGGGGCAGCGGCTCCGGGCGGAGGCGGGGGAGCGTACGGGGGGAGCGGGGGGTGGTACTCGGGCTTGGTGCCCCAGAGGGGCGAGCAGGTGCGGATGGGCGCGGGCGGCGCGAAGGGGATGCGCGTGCCGCCAGAGAAGTACCCCAGCACGGGGTCGTGGAAGAGCAGCGTGGGCGCGGCGGCGTTGGACGCGGGGGCGAGCGGGCCCGCCGCGAAGACGACCCACCAGAGCGCGGAGAGGCCCGGCGCGCGCAGCAGGTTGGCGTCGAAGCGGTCGTCCCCCGTGGCCGCGGGCTTGGTGAAGCGGATGAAGGTGACGTCAGCGCGGCGCGACGCGGAGACGAGGGTCACGTCGTTGAGGGACGTGGGGGAGGAGCCCAGCAGCGCGTCCTGCGGCGAGATGGGCGGAGGGTGGGGGGATGAAACGGAGGGAGACATGGGGGAAGGGGAAGGGGAGAGTAGTGTGCTGAGGGAGTGATGGAGGAGTAACGTGAGCGAATGGGGGGGGGCGAGATGGGGAGGGAGATGATGGACCGGCGGACACACGTTACACCCAGTGCTGAGCACTCGCACACGCCTACACGCACCTCGCACACGCCGACAAAGCCGCCCGCGACCTGCTGGCACGTCTGCTTGGCCGTGACGTGGTAGTCGCGCGCAAAGACCCCTCCGCCGCCCGCCAGCACGCCGCCCACCGTCACGTCGCTCTGCAGCATGGCGAAGCGCGTCTGGTTGCGCGACACGCCCACCGCCACCCACGACCCCTCGCCCACGCGCGCTTCCATCCCCATCTCCACCACCGGCCCCTTCCCCCCGCCGCCGCCGCCGGCGCCGCTGCCAGCGCTGCTGCTGCCGGGCGCGGTCGAGGACCCGGTGACTGCGGACACGTCTTGCGGCGATCCCGCGGCACCTGCGTCCGAGTCGCCGTGATGCACGGTCCAGTATCTACCGCCGCCGACACCATAGAACCAACACCCGCCGTGCACAACCGCACACACACAGAAACAAGAGGGGAGTGGGAGGGGGCGGGGTAGGAAGGGCGGAGGGGTGTGTGTGATGAGTGAAAAAGGCTGGGAGGACCGGCGCAATGCTTTCGCCCCTCCGCCTTTTTCTCTCTCCGCCGCCTACCCATTCTTCCTCCCCGCCCCACCCAAGCCTCCGTCCCCGCTCACTCACATGTTCAGCCGCCCTGGCACGGCCTCCACGCAGTTGGTCAGCCCGACGGACGGCCCGCTGCTGCCCGGCGCAGGCGGCTTGGGGGGCGGAGGGGGCGGGCGAGCGGGGGGCGACGGCAAGAGCAGGCGCTGCTCCCTCGCGGCCGCCCCGACCGTCTTCCGCACCCACCGCACGGTCTTGCCGTGCGGGCCCGCGTGTTCCCGCCCGCCCACCGCGAACTGCGCGTAGATCCGCGTGATTCCCGCGGAGGCGGACCCAGCGCAGAGGTAAAGCACCTGCGCCTCGTCCCAGGTGAGTCCGCCCGCCTGCAGAAACACCGCCATCAGCGACGTCGCCGTGAGGTTGAATGTGGTGCTGGCCGGTGCGAAGGCGGAGGCGGCGGAGGCGGGGAAGGAGGAGGCGGCGTAGGGGTCGACGGGCGCGGCGTGCGAGTAGGGGTCGACGTCCTTGGGACCCGCCCAGATGGACAGTGGCGCGTCCACGGCCGTGCCGATGCTGCGAAGCGGGGCGTGGGGAAGGGAGTGGACGGGTGGCAGGGGGAAAGGATTAAGAGGAGGGGATGGGTGGAAGTGTGAGTCGAGAGAGGAGCGATGGTCGCTAGTGTGGGATTAAGGAGCTACGCGAGGATGGTGAGGGATCAAGGGCGAAAGTTGGCCCTGGTTGCGGTGAGCGGAAGAGAGGCACCTGAGATCTGAGAGCGCGAAGTAGCAGTCATCGTAAATGGTCACTCGCCCCGATATCGCTTGTCCTTTAGGCGATGCCGCCTCTCCCTTGTACGGCTCTAATGCGCCTTGCACGCCGACCGCGGAGAAGTTACCCGACGTGCCGCACGGGGTGTAGGGTCCGGCGGAGTAAAAGAGCACATCGTAAGTTTCGGTGGCCGATGAGCGCGTTACCGAATGAGAAGACAACGCGAACACGAGAACGGTGAGGACTGTCAAGCTGCAGCGTTGCCGTGCCATAAGGACCTGCTGAGTTGGTCGTGCGTCGAACGAAGGGTTACGGCGCTGAACGCATCGACGGCAAAGGTTGCAAGGTCTGACTCGCGTATGCTACATAACTTATCGTGGAGAAACATCAAGACTGGATACGACTTAGCCCTCTAGTTTATTTCATAATCAATAATGCCCAGCTCCCTGACACGCCATGACTGCTATACAACAGCCAGATGCTTTCTCAACAGAACTACGAGCATTTCAGGGTTCTCGTGAAGAGCAGCATGTCGGCTAAGCATTTCGTCCATCTCTCCCGTGTCGCATTGTATTGTATCCTTGGGGATCTCATCCTGCTGGCGAATGGGGTGGTGGCGGGAAAGCTGACACTCTGACATCATTTATTAGTGCGATACTGAATACTGCGATTGCAAGTAAGAGCATATACCATTTTAGCACACGCAATTGCGTTATGCGTCAAATTTGTGGTGAGATAGTCATTATGTATTTTCCGTGCGGGCAGCTCTCGTTTCGCGGTGGCGTGGCGGTAGGGAGGGGCATCAGGTGAAGGTACAACCTCTAGGGTTTCGCTGGGTTCGTTGGACCGCCACCTGATTGGCCCGCGCTTACAGGCAGCGCAAGGCCCCCGCATCCCCCCCACATCCGATACTGTAGCCCCACCTGCACTGGTTGCCCCCTCGCCCGCCGCACATCCCCTCCCCCCTACCTCCTCCCTTCACCTCACATCACAAACCGAAACTGTTTCTTCCGCGCGCAGCAAATCTGCCTCCCCGCAACCGCGCCTTCCCACGTCTCTTTCTTTTTCCGCCCCCTCTGCCGATCCCCCTCTTCCGCCTCCCCATCTGCGCGCCTGCAATCCAAGTGAACCCCATCTTCCCCTGCAAGTGTCCGCCCCCCTCCCGCATCGCCTGCGCTGTCTGCTCCGCGGCATGCCGCGGGCTGCCGCTTGCTGCACCTACGCCAACCGGCAGCCATGGTTGTCGGGCTCATCTGGCATGCGTACCACTTCACTGTACTGCAATATCCGTCGCTACTCTAGCTTCCCTACCCGCGACCTCGCACTCCCTGTCTCATGGTGTACGCATGGCGCGAGCGTCCGTCGTGAGCTACGCTGGCTGATTCGCGTGCTGTGTGCTTTGGTGAATGCTAGTCATGAAACCACTCTCGCCGCACTCACACTTATCGATCGTTAGGTCGACTGATCTTCTTTAGTTAAGGTATTAGGTTACGGATTTATACCCTCAAGAAGGCTTCTGGTTTGCAGTTTCGATAGAGTTAGTCTTATTATACTCTTAAGCGCGATGGCGTCCGACAGTGCCGCCAGACGCTCGCAGCAGCTCGCCGTGGTTTCCGCGTCCGCGGAAGCCGCCGCAGTGGACATTGCGCCTCCCTCCTCCGGGCTTGCCTCGTCACCTCCCGCCGCCATTGTCGTTGCGGCGCCAGCTGCTGCTCAACCGCCGCTATCCGAAATACAGGCGAGTCGGGTTCAATCCCCTCAGGTGGCGTTAATTGACAAAGGCAGCGACGCAGGTCTAGTCGCAACCCTGTCAAGGCTTCATGGCAGCTCGGCGCGCTTGCTTCAAGCGTGTAATATCTGGCCTCCCCGCCTTGTCCTGCCCTGTGTGCCGCCTTTATCCGCTTCCCCCTCACAGCCCGTCCCCCTCTGGTCAACCCCCCTGTAACGTCCCCCTGGGCGCGCGCGCGCGAGCAGGTTCCGGAGGAGGACGAGCGGCTTGAGCCGTGGCTGGCGCACGTGTCGGTACTCGTGCACCTCGCCACCTTCGCCATCATCGGGGTACGTCCGCCGCGAAGCGCTCGCTTTCATCCCATCTACACCGCACCGCGCCAGAACCCCTCGCTCTCTTGCCGCATCATCCCCGCGCTGCTCCTCGCGCATTCACCTCAGTGCAGGTCCCTTCCCCTCTCTTACCCCCTCTCCCCCTCTCTCCGTGCTTTCGCCGCCCCACTCCCGTGCGGTCGCTGCGTGTGCGCGTGCGGACGGCGGCGCGCGGCGGCGTGCGCAGGTGCTGATCCGGTACGGGCTGGAGGTGCTGTTCGGGCAGGAGGTGGCGCACGTGACGGACGACGAGCAGACCGTCTTCATCGACCTGCCCGCCAACATCGTGAGTCGCGCCCCTTCACACCTACTCCCCCTCCTCCCTTCACTCCACTCTCGCACCCACCTCCCCGCTCCCACCCTCCCGTCTTCCCTCCTTTCCGCGCTCCCCTCCCAACTCACCGCGCCCTCCTCGTTTCCTCCCCCCACCCCTCCTTCCCGTCTCCTCCCCTCCCCCTGCTCCACGGCAGGCGGGCAGTTTCATAATGGGCATGGTGGGCGTGGCGGCGAAGCGGCACATAGCGGCGTATTCGGAGCACCTGGCGATCGGGCTCTCAACGGGGCTGTGCGGGTGCATCACGACGTTCGCGTCGTGGAATCAGCGCATGCTCGCCATCCTCGCCTCCGGCCTCTGGGTGCGCGCGCTCGCCGGCTACATCGTCGGTGCCGCGCTGCCCTTCGTGTCGCTCATGGCGGGGATCGACTTGGCGGATGGCATCAAGTGGCAGATCAAGCGCGCCAACGACCGCCGCACCGCGCACGGGAAACCACCCCTGCGCGCGCCACGCGGGGACCACTTTGACCGGCGGTGGGCGTCGCTGCTGCTCTTCTTCTGCCTCTCCGTCTTCCTCGTCACCGCCGCCGCCATCGGCACCGCGCTCGACGACTGGTCGTCCAAGACGCGCCGTCTCTGGTTTGCGTGCGTGGTGGCGGCGCCGGGCGCGTGGCTGCGCTGGTACCTGTCGTGGTTGAACGGCGGGGCGGTGGGCAAGGGGCGGTGGTGGCAGTGGGTGCCTGTGGGCACGGTGGCTGCCAACGTGAGCGCGTCCGTGCTGGAGGCCGCCCTCTCTACCGTCGTGCTCACTGTGAGTCGTACCCACCTTCACTCATTCACATCTGTTGTAGCTACCAGTGCACTCGCTGCCTTGCACACTCGTACACTCACCCCTCTCCACCCCAACCCAGCATTGTCATTCTGCCTCACCCCACCTCCTGCCCTCCCACTTGCCTCCTCACTTCCTCCCTCCATTCCTCCCTGTTTCCCCTCCTCCCCCCCCTCCACTCCACAGTACAACAACGAGGTGAGTGTGCTGGCGGTGGGAGCGCTACAGCTGGGGTTCCTGGGGTCACTGAGCACCGTGTCAACGCTCATGGTGGAGGTCCTCGCGCTGCACAAGGCCAAGACCGGCCGCTGCTGGCGCCCCTACTTCTACCTCTACTGCATCACCATCCTCCCCTCCTTCCTCATTGGCATACTCGTCTACTGCGTGCCCGTCTGGGTGCTCGACTACACCTCCAAATACAACCACTTGTAAAAGCAATTATGATATACGATATGTACACATGCCTTACAATCCAATGGGTTAAATGCAGTTGTTTATAAGCCAAACTTGTCTCACTGCTCCTAGCAGCCTATAGACTAGAGGCACAGCTACTATGGATGCCGCGCAGAACAACCTTGGAAAGTTGAGCTTAGATTTGTCACCAGACCTTGGACGGTAGTGCAGATGGGAGGGAGTACAGAGCGGAGTACAGTGTACCATAGATTGCTGCACGGAGCAGTGCTGACTAAAGGCACTTTCAAATAGACAATCCTTTTCCTGGCTTCTCTTCTCAGAGAGTCAGTTTCCATAAAGGGTGCATACACATACTGTACACGTGCAATGTGCAGCTGTCAGTTATTCAAGTCAGGTACGGAACCGGTACATGTTACGGTATGTTACCGGTACAATCAATGGAGGGGAGGATCAGAGGAGGCCTCTTAAACTCACTACCCCTAACAGCCTTAGGATGCTGAACAACGTTGAGGAACAGCCGTGTGAAGTTGTGACCAGACTGAAGAATAGCGCTGCTAATGGGAGTGCAGTACTGCAGCAAGACCAAGCCACATTGACGTGGTACGGGACTCATTGCTGCACGAGCTCTGCTCGCCCCATCCACTTGTACACATTCCTCCCGTCTTCTCAGGGAGGCTGTTTCCAGCACGGGTATACAGACGCCTCATGCAAAGTGCAATGTGCAGCTGTCATTCAAGTCAGGTATGTACACGTTATGTTACAATCAAGGTGAGGGGAGGGTCAGCGAGAGGCGTCCTACCCCCAAATCTAGGATCCACAGCAATGCATGCCAAGTAGAGTGGAGTGTATTGGCGATGGAGCGTGAACTTGTTATGTGAGTGCGGGCAGCCATGCCATGCCACAAGGAGAGCCTTGCATGCGGACCTCCTAGCTACCAAGTGCTGCCGATGCTGCCACCGATGCTGCCACCGATGCTGCCACCGAAACTCATGCCGCTACCACTGAAACTGATGCTGCTGCCACCAATGCTGCCACTGAAACTGATTCTGCCACTGAAACTGATGCTGCTGCCACTGAAACTGATGCTGCCACTGAAACTGATGCTGCTGCCACTGAAACTGATGCTGCTGCTACTGAAACTGATGCTGCTGCCACCAATGCTGCCACTGAAACTGATGCTGCTGCCACCAGCCCAACCATTTTACCTGAGGCTCATGCTGCGGCTGCTGAACCCACGCTCAAGGCTGCCACTCCCACTGCCAGCCCTGCTGCCCGCCTTGCCGGCCTGCTCGCCCTTGGGGCCGCCGAATGCCTTCCAGAAGCGCAGCGTCTCGTCCGCGGCAGCGGAGGCGACGGTGGCGCCGTCAGGGCTCTGCGCAAGGTGCAGCACGCGCGCGGAGTGGCCGGAGAGCTCAGCGAGCTTGCCCATGGTGGGGTAGTGCCACAGGCACAGCTGGTTGCGGCTGTACCCGTGCGACGACAGCAGCTCCTTGTCGTGCTGCGACCACTGCAGCGCGCATACCTGTGATTCCGTGTCCACGCTGCGCACGCACGCGCCCGTCTGGGTGTTCCAGAACTTGATGGTTCGGTCCGCCGAGCCTCCGCCCGAGGCGAGGAGGTTGGCTTGGAAGGGGCACCACGCGAGCGCCTTCACGGCGGCCTGGTGGAGGTCCAGGCGGTGCAGCCACGGCGCGTTGCCGTTGGCCAGGCGAGCGGAGGACCCGGACGACGCGGAGAAGGCGGAGGCGGCGGAGGCGGAGGCCATGGCGGAGGCGTCCCAGATGTGCAGCAGGTTGTCGTTTCCGCCGCTCGCCAGCTGGCGGCCAGACGGCGACCACTTGAGGCCGCACACCTCCAGCTCGTGCCCTGCGAGGCGCGACGTCACGTGGTGCCGCATGCGCACGTCGTGGTTGAGGATCGCGCCGTCGCGCCCGCCCGTCGAGAGCGTCGCGCCGTTCCAGTCCATGGCGCCGACGCGCCCCGCGTGGCCCTTGAGCGCGCGCACCTGCTTGAGGCGCTGGCTGTCCCACACCTGCACCTCCGCGGAGCTCAACCCCACCGCCAGGTGCTTCCCGTCCGCCGCCCACGCCACGCTGCTCACGTACTCCGCGCTGCCCGCGCCCTCGTCCGCGCCCTCGCCGCCCACGTGCAGAAGCTCTTCAATGGCGCCGGTGGCGGCGTCCCAGAGGTAAACAGACGCGCCGAGCGCGAGTGCGACGACGTTGGAGGAGCTCCAGTCGAGCAGGTTGAGGTAGTAGTCGTCCACCAGCTCCGGCGCGTCCAGAATGCGCTCCGCCGCCTGCGGCACGTACCGGAACGCCTTGCGCTTCCCGCAGCTCGCGCTGGCGGAAGCGGCGGGGGAGAAGAGCGCCCCGCGGGCGGGGAAGTCGGAGGAGTCGGAGGAAGGAGAGCCCGCGGGCTTGAAGGAGAGGATCTTGGCGCCGCGGGGGCGGGCGCAGGGGGTGGTGTTGGCGGAAGGGCTGTCGCGGAGGAGATTCTCCGCCAGCTGCTTCCGGTACTGCGCCTGGGGGGGAGGAGAGGGAAAAGGGAATGAGGGCGGATGCGGAGGGAGTCGATGGAGGGAGGGGTGGCGGGAAAAGGGAAGAAGGTATATGCGACGAGGAACGCGGGCGGTGAATGGCAGTACGACGAGTCTGCGCGGCGAGACTTACCGCGTTGGGCGAGGTGACTTCGTGCGACGCGCCGTTCTCCCTGGCGCCGCTGCTGGTGGTGACGTCACGCGCCATGTTGAAGCGAGCCATGTCCAGGTCCATGGCGCCGCGGTTGGGGATGAAGCGGTCCGCCTGCCACGGGCGACCCGAGCACCGTCAGCCGCAATTCGCACTCACGAGCGTCTTACGATACTAATTGTGACGCGAAGCAGGAAGCAAGCGCATCTGGCGCAAGCGAGGCGCGGATACGAATCTGAGTGCATTCGCTGGGACGATCGGCGCTTGGCTGGAAGCTGACGCCTACGGGTCAAACCCAACGGCTCGCTGGGTGTTCGGCAATACCTGGGAGGGAGTGCGGCGCGGGGTGGAGAGCTTGAGCGACCTCTTTACGGACGCGGGCGTGCTGCGGTCTGCATTGGGAGTGCCGGCGGCGTGTCGCTTCTGATGGCTGGAGCCGCTCGCGATGGTGCTGCGCGCGGCCCTTGGCGGCGTGTCGATGGTCATCGTGAACTTCTCCATGACGTGCTTGGGGAAGGACTGGGGGGGGGGGGATTGCGGAGACAAGGGCAAGACAGGCAAGGGACGGCAAGCGATACCACAACAAACAAGGCAAAGCAACCGAAAGACGGACTGCACAACAGGGAGACAGAGAGACGCGAAATCGAGCCAAGGACGAAGCAGAATGGAAGGGAACGTGGGTGGGTGGGGGTGAGTGGTCGGTGTCAACAGCGTTGACTCAGAGAGGCCGGTGAAATTTGATTCGCGTGGTTCTGCCTGAACCCAAAGCTTGAATTTCTCGTCGTTCGTGAAGTTCCCGTAGTCGTAGGTAGCGCACAGAGAGCAAGTAGTCAGGTCGCAAGTAGGTCGTTCGTCGCACAAGTAATTCCTCGTCGCAATGCGATGGTTCTGCAGAGCAACACACATTGTGCAATTCTCTCCGCCCCCTTTTCTACTCCCACCACCCCTCGCTAGCTGGCACAATGCACCCCAGCACGAATTGCGCACCCATTCGCATCGAGTCGCAGCGATTTGTGCGAATCGAAATGGCGAGCCATTCCGGCCACGTTCGACCTTCTTCGCGAATGGCTGGAGTGTACTAGGCGCCAAACCAAGTCGGCCTGCCCAAAGCACCGTTTGAACGGTGACCGCTCCATGCTGCCGTTGTGATGCGATGGTGCATAGAACGCACACTGTATTGTTATTGTAGGCCTATTCCTTATATATTGCCATAACAGCCCACATGTAGGTTCAGGCTTTTTATGCCGATTAGATTCATATTCCAGAATATAAGCCTAGTTTAATATGTTTTTATATATGTCTGGGCTGAGATGAGCTCCTCACAAATTATGATTCACCTGATTTTCCAGCGTTTCTTAGAATAATGTACATAGAACCTGAATCATCAAGGTGAACAATAAGAAATTTCTATCTCGTATTGTAGTGTTTTGGGCGACCACATTCATGCTCCCGAAACACCTAAGCAAGTCTGCGATTGGCTGGCCGTTTTCCAAATTCCACATTCTTGGCTGAAATGGCCAGTCACAATTCGCGAAAGCGATTCCTTTCGAAATGATAAGGTACCCACCCGCTTGCCAGAGAAGTGTCTTCGCAAATCGTTCGCCTGAGGTAACTGAGATCGCAACAAGGATGTGACTGTGGTTGTGCGAGACAACCCTTCTCTGTCCCCGCTCTTCCCAAGACTCCTCCCTGCTTGTCTCCTCCACCTTTGAACCTGTACTCGAATCATGGCTGCCGTGTCCGCTGCCACTGCTCGTGTCGCCATGGCTGCTGCTCCCGTGCAATCGGCAGTGCTTGCATCGTCTTATTCTTCTCGATCAAGCTTTGCGGCATGCCCTGTTTCGAGGCCGAGCCGTGCTGCTGGAGCAAAGCGCCTACCAGCAGGAATCAGGTGCCATGGTGAGGAGAGCGAGGCGGCTGTCGATGGTCGCGCTTTCCGCCGAGCGTTGAATAAGAGCGACAACTACAATCGCAGCGGGTTCGGGTACAAGAAGGAGATGCTGGAGCGGATGGAGCAGGAATACACGAGTGAGTCCAATGCCCGCTGCAAGCTGCCGCCTTGCACGCACTTCTCATTAGAATTGAGGATTTTATATTTTTTCTCGAGATTGCTAATATTCAAAAAATTCCTTTCGTTTTTCGTGAAATGAGAAGATTTGGTGTGTTGGGTCCTCCGCGAATTCTGATGTCGTTGAGCCCTCCGAGCAGCGCGGGGAGCTCCGCCTGGTCGTGAGCGTGTGTCTCCTCACACGGCCGTCCCTCCCTGCGTGCAGGCGACGTGGTGAAGACTCTGCGCGAGAACAACAACGAGTACACGTGGGGCGACGTCACTGTCATGCTCGCCGAGTCGCTCGGCTTCTGCTGGGGCGTGGAGCGCGCCGTGCAGATGGCGTACGAGGCGCGCAAGCAGTTCCCCGACCAGAAGATCTGGGTGACCAATGAGATCATCCACAACCCCACCGTCAACGACGTGCGTGCCATCCGCCTTCCCCTCCGTCCCTTCCCCCCGTGAAGCTCACCGCCACACGCCATGTGTCATCATGCGTGCTCGCCCTCCATTTCCGCAATCGTGTTTCTGTTCCGTTCGCCGCGCCGCGACCGTCGATTGAATGCGTTCTGCGGTGCGCGTGTCATGCGGTGTACCCTTTGTACGGGTGGCAGAAAATGGAGAGCATGGGGATGAGTTTCATCGAGACGCGCGGGGACGGCAGCAAGGACTTCAGCGTGGTGGGCGACGACAACGTGGTGGTGCTGCCGGCGTTCGGCGCGTCGCTGCAGGAGGTGACCATGTTCCACGACCGCAACGTGCAGATGGTCGATACCACCTGCCCCTGGGTCTCCAAGGTAACCCTCCTTACCTCCCCCTTCCTTCCCCCCTCCTTCTCCCCTCCTTCCCCCACTTCCCCCCCCCCCCCCCCCCCCCTCCCCCCGTACCAGTGATTCTTACCTCTCCCACCTGCGCCTCTTACCCCCTGGTAGGCTTACTGCCCCGAATTCCCTTCCTCCACCCATGCACTCTCCTCCTCCTCCTCCCATACTCCTCCCGTGCTCCTCCTCCCAACCTCCCTCGTCCTCCCGTGCCCCCTCTCGCATGTCCCGTGCGTTGCGTGTGCGGTGAGCAGGTGTGGGACACGGTGGACAAGCACAAGCGCGGGCAGTTCACGTCCGTGATTCACGGCAAGTACGCGCACGAGGAGACGGTCGCCACCGCCTCGTACGCCGGCACCTACATCGTCGTCAAGGACATGAAGGAGGTACGCGCGCGCAGGGGGGTGGAAACACGCACGAAGGTGGTGCGCGCGCACAGGGGTTAGGGGCATGAAGGAGGTGTGGGTTGGTAGGGGCAGGGGGTGAGGGCGGGAATGAGGCGGAGGAATGGATACGGTTGGGCGTAGGGGCAACACATGCCGCACTCGACACGTGTTTGTGCTCCTATCCAGGCACCCCCCTGCTCTCACCACTCACCGCCACCTCTCTGCTCTTCTCCCCTCGCGGACGCACTGCACGTCTGTTTCCCGCCTCCTGCACACCCTCACACACGCGCACGCCATCCTGCTGCTTTTGCCTGCCCGCTCACCCCTCACTCCCCTCCCTCCGCCCCCCCCCCCCCCCCCCCCCCCCTCACTGTGCCCACGTGCGCCACTGCAGGCGCACTACGTGTGCGACTACATCCTGGGCGGCAAGCTGGACGGCTCCAGCGGAACTCGGGAAGAGTTCCTCCAGGCGAGTTGCTCCTGGCTGCTCCTGCCTGCCAACCCTGCTTCATGTGCCAATCGTTGACGTTCCTGCTGTCGCCTCTGCCTCCCCTCATCATCATGCCATGCCATGCCGTCACCCTCACGCCCCCCACTCACGCCATCCCCAACGCCCTCTTCCGTCCCCCGCCTCCCCTTCGTCCCCCCATGTGCGTGTGCGTGCATGCGGGCTGACAGAAGTTTGCCAAGGCGGTGTCAAAGGGATTCGACCCGGACACAGACCTGGAGCGCCTGGGCATTGCGAACCAGACCACCATGCTCAAGGGCGAGACTGAGATGATCGGTCAGCCTCCACCACCCCACCCACACCCCCCATGCCTCACATGGCTCCCTCCCCACCCACGCCTCTCGTCTCCCTGCTCCCTCTCTCGCGCACCCCTCTCGTGCTGCTGACATGCACCCCACATGCTCCACCTGCCCCTCTCCCCACCCCCACCGTGTGAGCTGCAACCCAACCCCAGGCAACACCCATACCCATCATTCCTCTCTCTGCTGCCTTGCTGCCCTCCGCCTCCACGTGCTTCTCACGCGCCCGTGGTTGTGGCCCATGGGTGTGGCTTGATGGTTGTGGCGCATGGCTGGTGCATGCAATGCAGGCAAGCTGTTGGAGCGCACGATGATGAGCAAGTTCGGTGCCAGCAACGTGAACTCGCACTTCATGAGCTTCAACACCATCTGTGACGCCACTCAGGTGCTCTCCCTCCCACCCACCCACCCACGGGGGGATTGATCCGATAGGGAGGAGAGCGGGGAGATCAGGGAGGGGGAAGGAGTATTGCTGGGTGGGAGGGAGTGCGTGCACCCTTGCTCGCTCCGCCGCTCCCAGCTTGACGGCCGCACCGACACGCCACATATGCACCAGTGAACCCATCCCACCTCCACAACACACCCTTCTACCCAGCTCAATACCTCCTCTTCCCCTCCACTCCCATCTCCCTTCTCCTGCCCCCCTTGTTCCCCCTGCCCCCCCACCCCCTGTTGGCGCGAGCAGGAGAGGCAGGACGCGATGTACGCGCTGGTGGAGAGGCCCATGGACCTGATGATCGTGGTGGGCGGGCTCAACAGCAGCAACACGTCGCACCTGCAGGAGATCGCCGAGCACAAGGGCATCCCCTCCTACTGGGTCGACGAGCCCACGCGCATCGGCCCTGGTAACCGCGTAACGCACAAGCTGTACTATGGCGAGCCGAGCTCAAGGAGACGGAGGGCTTCCTGCCGCCCGGCCCCATCCGCATCGGCGTCACTTCGGGGGCCTCCACCCCGACAAGGTGAGGCACTCGCTCTCACAAGGTGAGGCACTCGCTCTCACAAGGTGAGGCACTCGCTCCACAACGGTGAGGCACTCGCTCTCACAAGGTGAGGCACTCGCTCTCACAAGGTGAGGCACTCGCTCTCACAAGGTGAGGCACTCGCTCTCACAAGGTGAGGCACTCGCTCTCACAAGGTGAGGCACTCGCTCTCACAAGGTGAGGCACTCGCTCTCACAAGGTGAGGCACTCGCTCTCACAAGGTGAGGCACTCGCTCTCACAAGGTGAGGCACTCGCTCTCACAAGGTGAGGCACTCGCTCTCACAAGGTGAGGCACTCGCTCTCACAAGGTGAGGCACTCGCTCTCACAAGGTGAGGCACTCGCTCTCACAAGGTGAGGCACTCGCTCTCACAAGGTGAGGCACTCGCTCTCACAAGGTGAGGCACTCGCTCTCACAAGGTGAGGCACTCGCTCTCACAAGGTGAGGCACTCGCTCTCACAAGGTGAGGCACTCGCTCTCACAAGGTGAGGCACTCGCTCTCACAAGGTGAGGCACTCGCTCTCACAAGGTGAGGCACTCGCTCTCACAAGGTGAGGCACTCGCTCTCACAAGGTGAGGCACTCGCTCTCACAAGGTGAGGCACTCGCTCTCACAAGGTGAGGCACTCGCTCTCACAAGGTGAGGCACTCGCTCTCACAAGGTGAGGCACTCGCTCTCACAAGGTGAGGCACTCGCTCTCACAAGGTGAGGCACTCGCTCTCACAAGGTGAGGCACTCGCTCTCACAAGGTGAGGCACTCGCTCTCACAAGGTGAGGCACTCGCTCTCACAAGGTGAGGCACTCGCTCTCACAAGGTGAGGCACTCGCTCTCACAAGGTGAGGCACTCGCTCTCACAAGGTGAGGCACTCGCTCTCACAAGGTGAGGCACTCGCTCTCACAAGGTGAGGCACTCGCTCTCACAAGGTGAGGCACTCGCTCTCACAAGGTGAGGCACTCGCTCTCACAAGGTGAGGCACTCGCTCTCACAAGGTGAGGCACTCGCTCTCACAAGGTGAGGCACTCGCTCTCACAAGGTGAGGCACTCGCTCTCACAAGGTGAGGCACTCGCTCTCACAAGGTGAGGCACTCGCTCTCACAAGGTGAGGCACTCGCTCTCACAAGGTGAGGCACTCGCTCTCACAAGGTGAGGCACTCGCTCTCACAAGGTGAGGCACTCGCTCTCACAAGGTGAGGCACTCGCTCTCACAAGGTGAGGCACTCGCTCTCACAAGGTGAGGCACTCGCTCTCACAAGGTGAGGCACTCGCTCTCACAAGGTGAGGCACTCGCTCTCACAAGGTGAGGCACTCGCTCTCACAAGGTGAGGCACTCGCTCTCACAAGGTGAGGCACTCGCTCTCACAAGGTGAGGCACTCGCTCTCACAAGGTGAGGCACTCGCTCTCACAAGGTGAGGCACTCGCTCTCACAAGGTGAGGCACTCGCTCTCACAAGGTGAGGCACTCGCTCTCACAAGGTGAGGCACTCGCTCTCACAAGGTGAGGCACTCGCTCTCACAAGGTGAGGCACTCGCTCTCACAAGGTGAGGCACTCGCTCTCACAAGGTGAGGCACTCGCTCTCACAAGGTGAGGCACTCGCTCTCACAAGGTGAGGCACTCGCTCTCACAAGGTGAGGCACTCGCTCTCACAAGGTGAGGCACTCGCTCTCACAAGGTGAGGCACTCGCTCTCACAAGGTGAGGCACTCGCTCTCACAAGGTGAGGCACTCGCTCTCACATGATGTGCCCTGTGCACAGTGCCCCATGCCCTGTGCACAGTGCCCCATGCCCTGTGCACAGTGCCCCATGCCCTGTGCACAGTGCCCCATGCCCTGCACCACCTTCCCTGTGGCGTGCTTGGTGTGCCTAGTGCCCTGTGCCATGTTCCTACCCCGCCCGTGCCCTGTGCTGCGCACCCAACCTAACCCTCCTCTGCCCTATGCCATGGTCCCTGTGTGTGCTGTGCCCTACTCCTATGCCCTACCTCTGTGCCCTAAACCCCCGTGCATGGCATGGCATGGCATGGCACGGCATGGCATGGCAGGTGGTGGAGGATGTGCTGAACGCCATATTCGCCATCAAGAAGGACATGCCCGCACTGCAACCAGTCGCTTAGGAACCACTGCGCTGTTTGCGCCCGGCACACGAATAGAACAGAGCTCTTGATGAGGCACTCATCTTTTGATGTGCCTGTGCTTTTGTCACGGCGTCACGTTGCAGATAGAGCAACAACATTGTGCTTCCTACTGTGCATAACTATGTGAATCGTAATTTCTGTATAAACCTGACAATTACAACATGAAACCACCAAAAACAAGTGTGCAAAGCAAGGCAGCGGAGAGTGCCCCACTGCGAGCACTCCCTGCAAGCCTCTGCTCTTCACAAGAGCAGCTGGTGCTACAAGGTGCCGTAGCTCCTGTCTCCAGCGTCGCCTAGTCCAGGTACAATGAACCTGATGTGCGGGGGATGCATGCAAGGGGGTGCGAGTGGGAGTGAACAGCCCGAGAGGGAACGGAGGGGATGAAGAAATGAGGAAAGGAAGGGACGTGTGCGCAGGTGGGCATTAAAGGCGACAGGGCAGAGGCAAGACAGGTGGGGTGGGGGCATGGTGTGGTGTGGCGGGCATACCCTTGGTCGTTGACGTCAGCATCGATCATCCCCGTGTACACTCGCAGCCTGCATGCATGGTGGCGGGGGTAGGGGTGGTAGCACACGGGCAACAAGTTATATGAATGCAGCCACGCTTGGGTTAGACATAAGGCAGCGCAGACGGGTGCAGAGCAGAGGGGTGCAGAGCAGAGGGGTGCAGAGCAGAGGGGTGCAGAGCAGAGGGGTGCAGAGCAGACATGTGCATTGAAACGACTACTGTGGCGAGTGTGCGTGGTGAGATGGAGAGGGTTGCGAGTGTGCGTGGTGAGATGGAGAGGGTTGCGAGTGTGCGTGGTGAGATGGAGAGGGTTGCGAGTGTGCGTGGTGAGATGGAGAGGGTTGCGTGTGTGCGGCTCACCCTTTGTACTTCTCACTCAGGAGCTTGAGTGCTGGCGATGCCACTATGGCCGATATCTGTCACGCACACGCAGAGAAGAGGGGGAGTGATGAGGCCTCCCCTCATAAGACACAGCATATTGGCATGGCATGGCATGGCATGGCATGGCATGGCATGGCATGGCATGGCATGTGGAATAGGTGTGCATGACAGCTCATGGCAGCACAGGGCAATACAGACATGGAACAGCAACAAGGGTGTGACAAGGCACGGCAGGGCAGAGCAGGGTAGGGCAGGGTAGGGCAGGGTAGGGCAGGGTAGAGCAGGGTAGGGCAGGGTAGGGCAGGGTAGGGCAGGGTAGAGCAGGGTAGGGCAGGGTAGGGCAGGGCAGAGCAGGGTATGGCGGGGCGGGGAGGGAAGGGCAGGGTGGCAGGATGTTAGCGGGCATGACACGATTGGGAGGGAAGGGAAGGGCAGGGCAGGGCAGGGCGGGGCGAGGGGAATGGGGGGAAAGGGCAGGGCGGCAGGACGTGAGCGGGCATGAGATGAGAGGTGTGGGAGGGCAGTGAGGGGCGGGGCAGTACGATGCGGATGTTGTCGGGGTTGGCTCCTCGCCCCACCACCTCCTCCATCGTTGCCATCATCGTGCCACCTGTGCCCACATGCGGTGCAGTGCGGTGGGATGAGGCGGGATGGGAAGAGATCATGAGAGAGTGGATAAGGCGTGGAGGGCATGGTGTGTATGCGGGCAGTTGACAGCACCCAGCAGGCTGCAGACCCTATAGGGGCATGTGTGCCATGCAAGCATGCTCCCCATGCAAGCATGCTCCCCATGCGAGCATGTGTCATCCTGCTCGCATGTGTGGGTGTGCGACAAGGCGCACTGACCGGTGGCGAGCATGGCGTCCACGATGATGATCCGCGCCTCGGGGTTGAACGACTTGGGCAGCCTGGTGCATGCATGGGGGAGGGGACGAGCGAGAATGGGCGAGGTGAGCGGGGCATTGAATGGGGTGGGTGGGGTGGCTTGGCAGGAATGATTGGCAGAGAAGCAGAGCGGTGCAGGCAGCAGTGAGCGGGGTGAGGGGGGGTGGAGTGGGGCAGAGGGCACTGACTTGTTGAGGTAGAGCGTTGGCTGAAGCGTGGTCTCGTCCCGCACGTAGCCTGGCCACATGCACGGGGTGATGCATAAATGAGGGGGGGTGGGGGGGGCGAATGCGTGCACGGCGCAAGGGAGAGAGATGACTGACAGGTGGTGTGTGATAATGGCACACGTGGCACACACATGTTCGAAGGAGCGCTCCCAGGTGCACAAGGTGGTGAGCATGATGGCACACATGGCATACGTGTTGCCTGTAATATCAATATGCTTTGAAGGCAATACCGAGGTGGTAGGAGGCAATACCGAGGTGGTAGGAGGCAATACCGAGGTGGTAGGTGATGGTGTGCGGGATGACTGGCCCCATTTGCTCTGCCATGACCGCCCCCGCCCTCAGCACCGGGATGATCTGCCCCCCATGCATGCATACACACACGCACATGTGGTGGGGCGGGTGGGGCGAGGAGAGGAAAGGAGAGGAAAGGAGAGGAGATTAGGTGCATAAGCAACTGGCTGTGAGGCAACAGTGGTGCGGCATGGTTGGTGATTACGCACAGAACTGCAGGGAACATTATTTTGCTCGTCCATGCACATGGGAAGCATGCAGCGTGGGGCTGCCACGTGGCTCACCGCGATTGGCTTGTAGGGGTCAACGGCCTCCACCTCAGCTACGCCACAGGGCGTGGCCACCTCGCCGTTAATCATGGGCTGCCGCCCACCAGGGAGGAGGGGGGGGTTGTAAAGGGGATGGGAAGGCGAGGAGAGAGAGGGGCAGGCAGAGGAGCACATGAGATCTGGACTGAAGAGAGGAGGGCGGAGTGAGGGCGATGCAGTGCAGTGCAGTAGGGGTCGACTCGTTGCGCTGGTGGCACTGCGATGGGTGTGCAGGGGGAACGGTTGAGTGGATGGCGACATGTAAGTG